AAGTCCATTTGGCAGGAACATGTTTTCAGTATCTGCAAATGCACAGCTCTACTGTTGGAGTCATTAAGGAGGAAGAAAAATGGAAGACAGAAGGCTTTTAACTGGTGAATGAAAATGTAGAAGACAAAATTATAAAGCAAATACACAGGTACTTATTTCACTGAAATAGCAGGTGGCACTGAGGCAGCCTGCTAAGATGAATCTGTGATGAGGATGACAGGGAGCCACCAAAATAAGGAAGTCTGGTGCAGTGGAGTGTTGATCCCACAGGGGTGTCCGGGTAGATAGCTGGAAGTAAATTATTTTTAAATCATCACAGAATTCTGTAAAGAGTTGGAGCAGGCCAGTAAGTATAAGCTCTAGAAGTACAGGTAATTTAAGGGTTTGGGGTTTTTTTTGAGTTAAACAGGAAAAAAAAGTGTTATGCTTGGCTAAGAGGATCACAAATATGCCTGCCTACTCATTTAGTAAAGCACTGATTAGAAAACAGAAGGAAGGATGCACAAAATGGTCCAGTCTTCCCTAAGGACAGCATGAACACTCAACTTGGCAGCTTACTGCCATTAGTCCAGTGTCTGTAACTATCAGGTAACTGGGTAAAGTAACCACCCTTGATCTAGACTGATTGTAGGATGCACACAGTCAAAATCAAGCCAGTGCTCTGATGCTGTAGCTATGTAGCTGACATGAGTCCTGGGCCACTGGAGAGCATGGCTGCCTCTGCTCTTCCCTTTTGGCATCACCAGCTGGTGGGGTTATGGGCGAACAGATCTGGCTAAAAAGTTTTTTCTTGATTCTCCATGTATCTGCACAAGTAGCAGTGCTGACCCATGGCACGCCATTTTCACTGCTGGACAGGCATCTGTTTTTAAAATAACTGATGTTTACTATCCTGTCTAATGATTGCTCTTACCTCCAACATGCAGAACTACTGTAAGTGTTTGTTTGGGGCTTTAAACAGTCCTCTACATTTAGTGTGCAAGCATCGTATAAAATCCCTTGTTATATGTAATTACTACACATAACTAACATGGAATTTAGTCATTTCAGTATTAGAAAAAACTTTAAAAAACCTGGCAGTATCTCTTTCCTTTTAGATTTGAAATTACAGGCTTTGGATGCTAGCTCTTCTTATTAGGAAATCTTATGTGCTAATGAAACTGACTTACTTGTTCTTGCAACGTATAAATAACTGTTACAAGAAGGATATCCTGAAGTTGGCTGTACTACAGTGCCTTTGATCTGTATCTTTTCACTTATTGATGGAGATTGCATTTTGAATGTCAGACTGATTGATTCATGACTTAACATGGAGAAGAATAAAATTTTCTTGGCTACAAGTAACATGCATGTTATCTCCAAAAGTTAATTGTGCAGAGCATTACACCAGGATAATACCTAATAAATTACAGAATAACTTATAAGTCTAATTAGGGTGGGATTCTTATGTTGGAAAGGCTATGGTTATAGATGGACAAAACCCTTATCCATTCAGATACCCTACATAGCTCACTGTACTTGTTCTTAGATAAGGAGTATTTTCTGTGATTTACTGTTAAAATGGTGTATAAGTAGCAAAGGTTGGAGGTAATTTTTGCCCTTTTATTAAACAGGGACAAGTTAGATTATGGATTTCCACTGCCAGTCTCAGCTGAGGGACATATTTCACATTCAGAAGCAGAATATTTGTAGAATACTTGCCTTTCCTTGACTTGTGTTAAAACTTTCCCTCAGTGATGGCCTTGTTACTTCCTGCTTTTTCCTTCCTTTCCTCCCAGTCAGGATCGGGACTGGACTGATTGCTAACAGAGGCAGTTTGTGCTCTTCCTTCAGAGCTGATGTTGCTGGCTCTTACCTTAGTTGGTGTGGTAGTGGTCTGCCACCTGGGCTTGCCCCATGTTGCCCACCTAGATCAGACCGTTATAGGAGGGGAAATATGCTATTTTCTTCAGTGTGTGAGAAAACACCACATGTGAATGTAATGCTGACTGGCTAAATCAGACCAGTTTTTGACTACTTGTAGTACTGCTGCTTGTGACCATCTGACCATGAAAGTGTCTTGTCAACACATACCCTTCACGGCATGGCCTGGAGGAACTACAGCAGCAGATGGTGAGTGTTTAAAGGGAACACACCCAAAGCACTGCATTTATGGAGCTCTTAAAGGCCATCAGTTCTTACAGGAGGGAAGATAATAAAGCGTGCCTCATTAACACAATGATAGATTATCTGCCCTTTGCCACAGAATTGGAGATTCTAAACTTTTTTATGAAAACTGATTTTCATGATTACTGAGATGACTTTAACAAAAATTTAAAAATGCCTCCTTAAATCTGTGGATGGCTTCAGGTGGCTGGGAAACAACAAGGCTGTTGGCAGTTTTCGTGCAAACCATTTTCTCACAAGTACCAGGCTAGCATGCTTATTGTGGTAAAATAAGCCTTCCCTTGCACGCCTGTAGTGGAGAAGTTGTTAGCAAAACCAGAGAAATTCACATGATGAACCCCTATAGCAAGTTCTCCTTGATACTGAGAAACTTTGCAAGTATTTCCTTTTTCTCCTCCATTTATCCACCACTAACTTCACCTCTGGTTACTTTTACTTTTTCTTTCTTTCCAGAAGTGTTTTCACACCTTGAAAATAGATCAGTAGCTCTCTGCCTTACCTCTTGGGTCGGTTGGTAGGTTGGTTTGTTGGTGGTGGTTTTTTGGGGGGGAGTTGTTTGGTTTTTTTTTTTTTTTTTTTTTTTTTACAGGGCCCCCTCACCCCGTGTTACTGGAATAACTGAGAGGTGCAGGCATAGGAAAAAGTGTGGTTAAGAGTGAGAGGGCAGGAGCAGCTGAAGTTGGCACTGCCTTTGAGCAGACTGCCAGGACTGGTGTTTCCTAACACTGTGTTGTTAGGAACAGCAGTAAGCAGAGCTGCCCACCTGTGGAAGACCTGTTCTTCCAGTTGTGCTGATGCAGTAGCTCGATAACAGCACCTCATTGTGCATGCTAGGTATGGCAAGGACTATTGCTCTCCCCATCGTGGGGCCCTGCTGGCCTGCCACAGACTCTGATGGAAATAATGCATAAATTAAGTGTCAGTTCCTCATATTGCATTTCAAAGTAATTCAGTGCAGTAGTTATACCACTTCTCTCTGTGTGTGGTGTGTTTGCCAGTGCTTTTTGCTAAAACGTAAGGCATGTCACATGATAGTTTGGGGGTTTTTTTAATTCTTAATTTGTAGAACTGGGAACTGACAGAATCCAAAGGGTTTGTCAATTCACAAACTAAGAAATGTACTTACAGCCAGCCATGTATCTGGTTTCTGTTTTGTAAATCTCCCTAACTCTCAATCTTTTTTATGGACTAAAAGAAAACTTTGTACCTTTGATACATCCCACAGATGCTGCGTCAGCAACAATATAGCTGATATTAAGGAAATAAGTTATAAAAGAATTAAAACTAAATTCATTAAACCGAGTCTACAGATTTTAATCCTGTGGCATGAGTGGAGAGGACAGATGCTTTTTAATACTCTTAAGCTTGATATTATCAGGCTTACAGATGCTAGCATTTCCTTCTAAAACTTCTTACAGTGCTAATCTGTAATTTAGCAAGTCCCACATCTCCGCTGCTTTTACTGAAGAAAACACGTGTATGTGTGTGTCTTTCTTTCAACTTCCTGTTTTTAGAGCTTGATAAACTTGAACTTCATCCTCCTACCAGCTGGAGAACAAAACCCCATTCCTGCATAGTCATTATGGAGGAAGCCCAAGGCTTTACTACAGGTTGCTCCACCCTGTTCTTAAAACCATAGTCCACATCAGGATTTGCAAGTCTTGTAGGACTGGATTTATAGAGCAAAACAGTTGGCGATGCAGATAACGGAGCCCTCACTGTGTGTGGTGGTGGGAGCAGGGGCGGGTACTGGATCTCCTCTGCTTCTGTAGACCAAGTGATTGTTAGTAGTTACAGCAAATCTTACGGTTTACCTTTTCAAAGAGGAATCTAGCGTATGTACGTTATGAGTACAGACACTTGATATTCACTTCAAAATCCTGAACTAATTTTGAAATTTTAATGTAGATGCTTTTTGCACTGGGAGTTGCTGATCTGTTATGATCCCTGTAAGAAAGGCATTCACGTTCTGTAAAGCATTGTTTAAAATGCTATTTATTGGAGCTAACACTATAAAGAAACAGGGACTAGTATAGTGAACCTTATGTCCCTGTAAATACTGGGAACCCCAAGGTGTGCAGGGCTGAATGGGCCTGTGATCCACATGCAGCACACTGTGCAGACCTCATCTGTTAATCTGTAGACAAGCTTACCCCATTTTGACCGTTTAAGCTATTGTTTTTCTTTCAAGACAGCAACTCTATTCATCGTTCCTGCTGTCAGGGAGGAAGGGTGTTTGTTTGCTGTTAAAGGCAAGGCCAGGCAGGTGATACAGCTACCAGCACCCAGCAGTAGCTACTTGCATGCTCCTCTGTTACAGTGAGCTGGCTGAGTTTATGTTCTGGCCAGGGTATTTGTGCAACACAGCATAGCTCTGAAAGCCACCATATGTGTGCAGAAGAGGCCTGGGCTCACTCAAGTTATCTGTTATGTGGATCACTAGTGCTTTGATGTACAGCAATCTTCTGGTTGGGATTACCACAATGCATCCAGAACTGGAACTTGCCAAAGATCACCCCCTCTCTTCCCTGTCCCATGAACTGTCTCATGAACGAGGTGAGGATGTTCTTCAGTTTTTGTTTGTTGTCGCTGTTTTTTGGGTTTTTTTGTAATCACAGAGCTACAAATAGCTTGAGTATCTTTCCTTTTTCGAGTCTTACATGTAGGGTAAAGCTTTGCTCTCCAAAGATCTTGGGCATATTGTATAATAGGTAGAGAAACTAAATTCTGAGGATTCACATGTAGCAACAATCTTAAGTCATAAAGACATCACCATTTTAGAATAGACTGGTGCTACTGATCTGCTCACTTGTTTGTTTTCCTTACAGAATCAAGGCCATTGAAAGCCCCAACAAAGACGATGACACACAGTGGTTGACTTACTGGGTTGTGTATGGTGTTTTCAGCATAGCGGAATTCTTCTCTGATATCTTTCTGTCCTGGTTCCCTTTCTACTACATGATAAAGGTATGTTAGTTCGTGTGTCCCCTCTCCTAAAATGAGACCTTTGACCTAACTGATTTAATGTCTTCAAGTGTGGATAGTTGACAACAGATTCCCTTGGAATCATTCTTGAGTCATACCTTATTTTTAGATGCTGGTTACATGTAATTTAGCACTGTGAAAGCAATCTGTTTACAGCTGATGGTTTTGTGAGGCAAGAGGGGAAGTTGGGATGGGTGGCAGGAATGGGTCTGCTGTATTTTAGGGAAGAAGAGGCAGTGTTGATTTACCATGGAAAGACAGTTCTTTATCTTGGTGTTCAGGTAAATTTGGGCAAAGTGACAGCATGTTGTAAACACTACAGAGTGGATGCATTTTTGCTTTAGGCACATTAAGAGGGTAAAATCACAAAGGCAGCAAAAGGAAGTATTAACTTCTGTACTACTGGGGACGAAGAAGGAAATTGCAACATAAATATAGTTTGAGTCATACTTGAATTTTAATTAAGACTACTCTCCTGAAAGAAAACGTGAGATATCAGAAGAGCTTATTGCGAATGTCTATTTGTTAGTCTGATTTGACTACCAACAATAATTTGCTTAATGTGTTCTAAACTTTGTCAACTAAGATGTGACTGTATTGCCAACCAGCTTTAGCATATTAAATTATCCTAGGAGATAGTCCATTACCATATACGCTCTTGGGCAGAAAACATTCTAGCTTGCTAGAGAGTCAGTTGTTTAGCCTAAAGAACTGTTTTTACCTATTTTCTGTGTCAGTGGGCTGTTCTGTTCCTTCTCTTTTGCTTTTTTAGCCTGGTTTAGCGCCACCAGAGTTCTTGAAAGGATTTGCTTGCCAGCTATTGTAATGGAGTCATTTAAAATTTTAATGGTAAGGTCTGATGCTGCCAAATGCTTTTTCCAGGAAGTGCCGTATTTTGAAGACAAAAATTGGACTTGAACAGCTCAGTTACACTTCTGCATTGTTCTTTTTTAATTTTTAACAGGCATTAACTGCACAATCATTTGTACGCCTGTACGCCCAGCTCCCCAAGAAAAAGCACATATTCGAACTACTGCTTCAAACTAAAAATATTTTGGCCTGTCTCACAAACTTAATTCTCTCTTCCCCCATATTTTTCCCTTAATCAAAAATGAAAATATGTTCTTCCATTTTAAGCTTAATTTATTTGCGGAGTTTTTAAGAAGAATCTGCTAATTTTGAAGTTTAGCATGGGTAACACGTGAAAATTTTACAGTTTTAAGACCAAGCCAAATACTGATCAAAGTACAAGTTCATCTGTTCTGAATAGGATCCAAAAGAATTACTTACGGGACTGGAAGAATCTGTTCTTAACCACTTACAAAGTTATTTCACATCCCCAACTTCACCTTACAGTTTAACAGGATTATGACTTTACCCATTGTCTGCAGTCATGTTTACTCAAAGTTCTGAATTTGGACAGTGTGTTTTCAGAGCTTCTTTTCTAACTTCTTGGTGGTTGTGATGGTTTCACTGGGCTGGCCCTTGGCTAGCAGCCAACACAGCCCTTCACCCACTTCTCCCCCACCCCCAGAGGATAGGGGAGAGAATTGAGGCAAGGGTAAGGAGGCTTGTAGGGTGAGATAAGAACAATTTAATATTGGAAATAAAAGAAAACTTATAATAACAGTAAATGCACAGCTTTCTACAATAGCTGCTACAGGCACAGAGAAGTCAGGTATTTACTCTCAGTAGTGGGTAGGAGGAGAGGTTTACTTCTGTGATACAAAGGCAGACAAAAGGTGTTGGCTGAGGATCAGAAAGCATTGCTGGCCGAGTGGAAGGATGGAAGGTAATCCATGTGGGGAAAAGGAAGAAACAGCTTCCAGCTTTCAATCCATCCACCTATAACCTCTTGCAGTATAGTTTGTGGTGTCTCCGTGTCTCCTTCATGATGTTACAAAGCACAAGCCCGGGTATACCACTTACGCAAATTTCAAGCTCACTTGCATTTTCCAAATATGCTAAATTTGCATATTAACATCTATTTGGTATAGCTTATAGCTTCCACTCCAGACTGAGTTTTAGCTGCTCAGTATTTCTGTATACCTTGATGTGCAGGGCTGAGACACTGATCGTAGCTGTTCTTGTATTTTCCTAAGTCCCGAGCATGGGCTCGGTCACTTCAAAGCTTTCAGCACATTAGGAATTTTTATATGTTGGTGAAAGGCATGTTCAAGAACTCCTCTGAATATGTGTTATGATGTTTGCATATACTTTTGTTCTCCAGCTGAAGACTGTTTTGAGATGTCTTGGGTTTTGTGGGATTATTTTTTGTAATGCTTACTTTTTACTTGTCTGCTTTTTTTTTCTTTGAGCCACAGGACATGCATGCAGCTCATAATTTCCTGTGCATGTGATGTGTTTTTCAATAGTTCTGTTAATTATTTAAATATTTATTTGGCATTCAGGTGTTAAATTACTGTAGCCAGTGAAAATAGCAGAGGTTATCCTAGGAGTATTCTTGGTAGTGGGAAGAGAAAGAAAGGAGACTTCTGATTCTACCAACAGTTTTGTCTTGAAATAGTAGAATACTATTTCTGAACAGAATTCCTTGCAGACACACTGGGTGCATTACACAAACTGCTGCTATGAGGCACTCAGTCAAATGAAGCAGGAGGAGTTGCTATTGCGAGTGTAGCGACATACCAGTATGGCAGTCTGACTCCACTTCAAGACAGAGATCCCCTCCTCTCATCCATGCACCCCATTTAATTAATTACTTATTTTGGCTGAAGAGCTACTTCACTTCCATTAAAATGAACACCTTGTTTTAATGGCTGCAGTTGTCCGTTAGGAGGAACGTGTTCACTCTTGTGGTGGTATAAGGCATGTGTTGGGTTTTGATCATCTTCTGTCTGTAGAAGCTTGGAAGCGGCCATGGGCATGCATGCTGTGTTTCTCAGCTGCAGTCACTTCCTCTGCGGTAGTGGCAAACCCAGTTGTATTTGGTTTTGTGCTGCCAGGGCAAGAACAACTGCTAACACCAGATCCAAATGGGTTAGACCCAGCTCAGGTGTCTGCCTAAGGAAGTCACTCTGTTGCACGAATTCCATTCCCTCCTCTAGCTGGTCTGCAGGGTTGCAAAAAATACAGGGGTTTTTTTTTCAGTTAACAGTTTTATCGCTTGGAACCTTCTGGACCTTTTTACAAACCAGTTCATTTTTAATAGTCAGTGTTAGTTCAGTTTCACAATAGACAAGGGAAGAATAAACTAAGTTCGCAGTCTGATGTTCTTAAGCTTTGAGAAGACCAAGATTTGCAATTTTGGTATGTGTCCTCTAGAAAATGTATATAATAATCTGTTTCAGTACATTTCAAAAGTAATTATTTGAGAAATCTATAACTGTAAGAGACTTTTTTCTTGACTAGACTGGGACAAAGCTGTAAAATCAAAATGACTAATTTTGTTCCTAGGCAAGAAAAGGGAAATTTCAATTTCTTCTAGTTTCAGAGGAAGTTGGACTTAGAGCTGAGGGATTTCCTAAAACAGAAGAGAACTAAGTAACATACACATATATTGGGACAGGTGAAGTAACTATCAGTAATTGGCCAGTTATTCTTAAACAGGAAATAAAATCAATATACTTTTCAGCTTTAATGACAGTAAGATAGTACCCTTTATTCTTTCTGTTACGTTAAGTACCAAATAATAGAAGCTTTTGAAAATTTATATTCCATCACTTTTTGCCTTTATTTTCTCTGACTGTGCTTAATGATACTGCATCAGTTGCTACTTACTGGTGCCAAGTTTCATTGCATAAGGAATTACTCTTTTTAGTTCATTGAAGTGTTCCCTGGCAGGCATTCTCACTGGTGGGAGGTTTACTTGGAAAAACCTTTCTTTCTCTTCTGGGAAAGAGAAGTCATTCTGTTCTGACACCATGACCATATAGCTTAAAAAAAAAAAAAAAAAAAAAAAAAAAAAAGCTTAAAGCTTACCTAAAAGGATGATAAAGTGGTTTGGCAAAATCTTCTGTAGAAGGCAGCCATTAACCCCAGGAATCAGTGGTCCTTTTCGAAGAGAAAGCCTGTCAAGATTCCTGTCCAGCTCCAAGCATGTCATAATTGGTTTTCCCGACAGCAAGGAGAATGAGAAGTGACCTTAGAGAAAAAAGGAGTAGCAATCTCCTCCATAAACAGTAGGTTAAAGATGTTTTCTTCAACTGATGCGTACCAAGGGGATCAGTTTTATTGTCACGTGCACTGCAGTGAAGACAAATCTAAAATTTTACAGGAATGAAGAGCAGAACCTGCAGAACATTCAATCTCAGTATCCCTTATCTGAAGAAGAATAGGGGAGAGAGATTCCAAAATATTTGGAAAGATTGCCTGAAGAAGACTATGTGGTTTTCATAATGGAAAGGAGATTTTATTACTTTTTTTCTTTTTATGTGTGAAACTCAAATCAGAACCTTTCTTTTAAAATAACCTCTCGTAACTTAAGTTGCCTTGTAATAGTCAGATTGTTGTTTAGGAGTTTTTTCTGTAATACCAAAGCAAATAATTTGATGTGGTTCTGTCTTTGCAGTTTTACAGTGGGAAATCAAAAGTATGAGGGGAAAGAGAGGAGACAGAAATCTCTGGCTAGGCACAGTGGAATTTTGAAAGGTTACTGTGATCGAGATAGTTCCTAGGAAATGCTTTAGCACTATGCAGTGTACTGGAAACCTATTAAAAAAATAAGAAACTACACTTATATTTTTAAACGACTTTCAGAAGCTCTAGCACATTCACTGAAACATCTCTTCAACTGCTGTAGATACTGCTGTGAGAAGTGGAAAACTTCTGAAATCTAAGCTATTTAAGTGCTATTGTATTTAGATGCAGACTTTTAAGTTGCTTATGGTGTTATTGTAGTTTAAATTATTAGTTTGACTTTTCATGCCTAACTTAGCTAATTGTGTGGTGGGTATTTTTTCAGGAGGAAGAGTTGAGTTGTTGTGTTTTCTTCCTCTCTCCCTCTCTCCCTCTCCTCCCAAAAATGTGTGGAAATCTTCAAACATTTAATCATATCTGACATCAAAACAAATCACATTTTGGTTGAGGCTGGGGTGGTTTTGTTTTATGTTTTAAGAAAAGGTGGTCTGTGAAAAGCTGTTCTGCCTTTATTTTCTGGAGAGTCTTTTTGACACAGAATTATATTGTACTGTTTGTGTCTGAAAAGAACTGTACAATTGCTGAGAAAATTTGCTTAATTTTGTTGCAGTTTTATCCTGTAAAATCTTTCTATATATACTTTCAGAGCTCTGGCAAATTTAGGTGTGGCACTTCCTGTCCCGTAAATGCTTTAATCTTGTTTTGCATAGCTGTCTTTGTATTGTGCATGACAGCAGAACTGAAGCCAAATAAAGGTGCTTCCATAGTAAAGACAGATACTTGTAATAGTGATAGCTGTCTTTCCAGTCCCCTCTGTGAGATGCAGAAATATTGCCCCACACACTGTGGTGTTTGTTGTTTTTTTTTTTTCCCCCAGAGAGCAGATTGTGCTGTAAAAGCTATACCTAAACTGTGCAATCCAAAACCATTACCCTTGTCTGTGCACTGTGAGTAGCTTGGATATATTCTTCCCCCTTGTCACTTTAGCTCTGGGCTGCACACAACCCCATTCTTTCCCCCACTGCCTTTCAAAGCAGGGAGGCAAAGAGGACGGGGATATGTTTTGTGTGGATTTGAGTGATTTAGGGACCTAGACCTTCAGTCAGGCCCGTGCCACATAGTTTAGAAGTAGCCAGAGAAATTAATGTTTTGTCTAATCAGATTTTATACTTCTACATTAAAGAAAAAAGTACATGCAGTCTTGATACACCTGTTACCAGATTAGCTTTACTGCTAGAGCCCTCCTCCTTTATTCTGTCAGTATTCATGAAATTACTCCAATATAAAGATTCACTGTATGTAAATTTTCTGATATGCATACTTACTGGACCGTGCCCATACCAAATGAAGAGGATGATGTACTGTTTAAAATTTGCTCAAGTCTGTGTCAGGAAGGCACGTTACACCTTGTCTCCTACTCGTTTCTTCTACTTATGTGGATGTTCTTGTTCCTTGTAGTGTGGCTTCCTGTTGTGGTGCATGGCTCCAAGTCCTTCTAATGGGGCAGAGTTTCTCTATCATCGAGTTATCCGGCCTTTCTTCCTGAAGCACGAAGCGCAGCTTGACAGTGTTGTTAAAGACCTGAAAGACAAGGCTGCAGAGACTGCAGATACGATCACTAAAGAAGGTGAGGAAAAGACCATTCACTAATCACATCAAGTAGGAGGAATTTCCCTAGGCAACTCTAATATTGCAGTTAATATTCATCATTTTAGGGAAAAAAAATGTAAGAAGACTGTGTAAATTATAATGGATATGTTAAATTTAGATGAAGGTGCCAGGAAAAGAGGATTACAGTCGATCTTACTTTCTAGGTGTGCACTTATGCTAGACTGAGTGCAAGCTGTATGAGTGGAAGAAGCAGCTAATTAGTTTGTGTGTCTTCCCACCATACATATCACTGAATAACCTCTCTAGAGGCAGGTCCAAGCATCCTAACAAGTTACCTTCCAGAAAAATAGTTATTATTTCAGTGTATTCTTTATCTCCTAAAATACTGTCTCAGATACCTACTAGTATAGAAGGGCTGCTGATTGTGTAGTAAAGCAAATCCTTTAACTCCAGTAAACAGCAACATGTGAAATAATGTTTTCCCATCTATAAGTTTTTGTACTTTTCATTCCTCTGGGGATCAAAGGATTCTGAGCCCATTCTTAAAGAAACTACTTAGGTTTTTATTCAGTTAGACATTGTCAAAGGCTTTACTAAAGTCCAGGTAGACAACATCCACAGCCTTTCCCTCATCCATTAGGCAGGTCACCTGGTCATAGAAGGAGATCAGGTTGGTGAAGCAGGACCTACCTTTCATGAACCCACACTGACTGGGCCTGATTCCCTGGCTGTCCTGCACATGCCATGTGAGCACACTCAAGATGAACCACTCCGTGATCTTCCCTGGTAACTGAGGCCAGGCTGACAGGTCTGTCGTTCCCTGGATCCTCCTTCCAGCCCTTCTTGTAGCTGGGTGTCACACTGGCAAGACTCCAGTCGTCTGGGACCTCCCCTGTTAGCCAGGACTGTTGACAAATGATGGAGAGTGGCTTGGCAAGTTCCTCTGCCGGCTCCCTCAGTACTCTTGGATGGATCCTGTCTGGCCCCACAGATTTGTGAGTGGTGTATCAACGGTGTAGCAGGTTATAAACAGCTTCCTCCTGGATTATGGGGGGTTTATTCAGCTCTCCATCCCCATCTTCCAGCTCAGGGGGCTGAATACCCTGAGGATAACTGGTCTGACTGTTAAAGACTGAGGCAAAGGCAGCATCAAGTACCTCAGCCTTTTCCTCATCCTTGATGGCAATGTTCCCTTCCAAATCCAGTAAAGGATGGAGATTGTCCTTGGCTCTCTTTCTGTTGTTAATCTGTTTGTAAAAGTGTGAGCTGGGCTCTTGATTTCACCCCGAACATTACCATGCTGTGCCTGGGCTCATCTCTGCTGAGCCTGGCTTTCTCCCCTTCCCCCTTCAAACCTGGTTTAAAGCCCTTTCAATGAGCCCCGCCAGCTCATCAGCAAGAATCCTTTTCCCGCTTTGAGACAGCTGAACTCCATCTGCTGTCAGCAGGCCCAGTGCTGTGTAAACCCCCCCATGATCAAAAAAACACCCAAAGTCCACCAGTGGCACCAACCTCTGAGCCACATGTTAATCAGGTGTGTTTTCCTGTTCCTTTCAGTGTTCTTTCCTGCCCCTGAAAGGACTGAGGAAAACACTACCTGTGCTCCCGATCCTTCAACCAATCGCCCCAGTGCCCTGAAGTCCCTTTTGATCACTTCTGGACTCCTCTCTGCTACCTCATCGCTCCCAACCTGGATGACAAATAGTGGATAATAATCAGAGGGCCACACCAGACCAGGGAGGTTCCTAGTGAGGTCCCTGACCTGGCCCCCAGCGAGGCAACAGAGTTCCCTGTGGGATGGTTCTGGTTGCCATACTGGCCCCTCTGCTCCCCTCAGAAGGGAATCGCCTGTGACAATTACACACCTTCTTTTCTTAACAGAGGCAATCAGAATGCGTGGAGCTGACTGACTTGCCCTAGGCAACCCCCTGGATGGACCTTTGTCTGCATCTTCATTTTCCTGACCCTCAAGTTGCAGAGCCCCACACCTGTTGTGCAAGGGCAACAGGGGAAGGTGAGGGAGGCCAGAAGGGGATTTGCCCAAGTAGGGACCTGTGTTAATTCCTCTCCATCTCTTATGTCCTCTACATCTGCCTGGTGGCAAGAGGGTAGGAAATCCTTCGCTTCCTGTGGAGCCTCCATCTGCTGCCTTTCAGGGATGGTAGGATGTGGCTCCACCAAACTATGTCCCTCTCACACTCCCTGATACTTCTTAATCTCTCCACTTCCTCTTTCAGCTCTGCCACCCTGCTGAGCAGATCATTCACCTGGTCACACTGCACACAGGTGTTGTCTCTGCTGCCCTCCAGTACCAGTGACAGGCTCAGGTTCTCCATGGAGCTGGAGGCCTGGGTGGCTGCATGTTTGTGTGGGAGCTCTGTCTGGGTTGCCACATTCTTTCTGGCAATGGCTTTCAGCTGAGTAGAAACCATAGCTGGGTCCCCTTCTGGGAGGGCGATGACCACCAGTTGAGTTAGCCTTCTTGAGCCAGGAGGGGGACTTCTGGTTTTAAGTCAGTTTGTGCTGTTCATTGTGCTGTTCCTTGCTTATGGTTTATTTTTAAAATCTTTGTGATCAGTTTTATCACTATGTCTGTGTGTATGTGTATACAAAAGCTATGATTTTATTTTGTGATGTTTCTTTAGTGAACTAAAAGGAAAATACAGCTCAAGAACACTGAATAAGCGACTTAGTCTGTAGGCCTCTAAGATTAAACTTGCTTTTATTTTCCTGCAGCCAAGAAAGCAACAGTGAACTTACTGGGTGAAGAAAAGAAGAGCACTTAAACTATTATCTGGCTAAAGTTTCCCTACCACCTCCTTTATGAAGCTTGATGTTACTGGGAACTGTGGTATAATTTTAATAATATTGCCTTGGAAACATTTTCGTATATTAAAGGAATGTGTTGTAAGTTTGCTTACTACTCTGCTGTGTCTGTATAGAAAGTAAGCATTTTTATTTAAAAGCAATGCAGTGGGCAGCATCTGAAGCTTAATGAAAATATTTTATTCATGCAGAAGAAATCTTTTGGTAATCTCTTTCTGCAGTAGCATAAATAAAAAGTATATATCCCACAGGCTCTGCACTTTAGTTGTCTCTTTGTATATGTAATTACTCTTAACACTTTGTGGCATGTCAGGTAAAATGAAGCTATTGTGTAAGGAAAATACTAGTCTGAATGGATCTTCTTGAATACACAGGGAATTATTGTGAGAGATGGCATAATGGATGTATTCCCCACCAGTAAAGTTGTAAATTATGGAATTACATCTTCTAGGCACCTGATGATAGAGATTATTCACTGTTGCATGTTCTGTTGTAATACAGTATTTGGTACAGTGTGTGTATTCTTAAATGGACAGATACTAAGTATAGGAAGGAGTAACTTCAAGTGATCAAACTTACTTTAGTGTGAAATAATTTGCCAGAAATTATGCATTAAATTGCACAAGATTACTAAAGTACACCCCTTGCCTCTTCTTGCTAAATAAAGTTGTCATCTAAAATTGTTAATAGAGTGCCTTTTAAGATCACGCTCAAAAGCACAAACCACCTTTTGCTAAGGAATACCATTACAAACACTTTTTTCCTAAAGCCCTGTTGAAAATATTAATTGCCTTGGGTGTCAGTCCCCAGAACTGCATCGTTAGTAGGATGGACTACAACCTCCATGAGTTTTTTCTGCTCATAAAAATCTGCAGTCTCTTCTGACTGTGCTAAGAACACCTTTGCATGAGCACTGAAACTTCCTGAATAGAGATGCTGGTTTTGTTACTTGATATATTCCTGACCAGCCAGTAAGAATGCAACCAAAGTTGTTAAGAGAATAAAGGCTTTTTTTGCAATAAATGGAAAATAATACCTTTTTTTTTTTTTTTTAGATCTGAATCTGTATTTACTCTTTCATGTCACAATATTTTCAACAAATTCAGTATGAATTACTGAAATCTCCCTGTTCTGATCTCCATGCTGATGTTTCTTTAAAGCCTAAATGCTGTGACAGTTCTTAACTCACAGAACTTGCAGAAGTTAATCTTCAACTTTTGATATGATGAAAAGTGGTTTCTGGTCCACAATCTTAAATGTGAAAGATATAATCTTAAAGTAGACTTTTGAAGACTTGATTTCATGCAACAAGTTGGTGTATAACCATTCACTGTAAATTTTCAGATGCAAGAACTGCAAAAGAATGAAGCACACACTGCAATTCAGCAGGTCAGTTTTAAATTTGAGAGATAGGTATTCTAAGATGAGATATAAAAGTGTCTTAAGAGAAAGCATTTTAAGCTTTCAGCTGTAAAACACGTCCCTTACAGAGGTCAACTTAGATAGGGAAGTACGAGACCCACGATTTTCTGTAGGACAGCATGCAGATTATTATTTGAAGGAAAAAATGTAAAATATCATAGCTGATCACTCCGTGAGAACTTTTTGTTATGAGAGGATGTGCTGAAGAGGATAAAGTTTACAGCAAAGCTGTAGATGTGAGTAAAAAGTTTGAAGTGACTTGCCGTTTAAGCGGTTTAATTTTTTGTCTTCCTGTCTTAAACCCACTGAACTTTTCTGTAAGCCATGCTAAATCCTAGTGCTGTGTTTTAAACACTTATCAACTGTGTTAATATAGCTGTCATATGTGGCCAGTGTTATTTGGTTTCACCTCTTGAAATAATAAGTAATAAAGAAAAGTAAAGATACTTAATAGTCTGTTTGATATAGTTAGAGTACTCCATAACTTACTTCTCTAAAAGCTGCTGATAAATCTTAGACTTTCGAAGCCCAGTGAGGTCTGTAGTAGAGACAGAGCTTATTTTTAATTTCTCATATTGCTCAACAGTTCTTCCACTGTTACTAATGGGGATAAAATATTTCTAGATGAGTGTTAGAACATTCTCTTGCATCTCTCTTAGAACTCAACAGTTAGGCTTTAAATCAACTTCTTGTGTTTACAACTAGCTACATTCAATGCTCCTTTGTCAGATTTCTACTTGAAGTAGAACTAGCATCTGTTGTTAACAGAACTAGATCTTCTTGTTTGCCTTGATGCAAATAGAAATGACTGAATTTCTTCAGCAAGTTATCCTTTCCTGCAAGTAACTGTACTGTGCTGGCCCCAAAAATCAGTGCTTTTCTGAAAGTCCTCTTCACATTTTTGTGCAAATGTTGGTGCACACTTCTACTCCATGTCTGTGTTGAAGTTGTAATGTGCTAAATAAAAATGGACACGAATAAAGAGATTCTTACAGGACTGGTATGATGTCTTAGTATTTCTTAAGAACCTTGTACCTCAACACTGAAAACTTACAAGATAACTTTTTTTACCCAAATACTGTTATTGTGAACCTAATAGAAACCTCTCTAAAAGCCTGAAGGAAGTACTTCTGCTTGATGACCGGATTTCAGGATGCAACCGAGCTGCTTTAGAGCATCAGGCCTTAACAGAAGAGTTTGGAATACAGATCTGTTCTCAACAGTGGGCACCATGAGCAGCTGCCTACGCAGCACAGCTTTCCAGACTTACTAGTCTTGCTTACCTAAGGAATCATCAAGGTTTAGTGTTCTTTAGAAAAGTAGAGAGGAAAAATGGTGAAGTACCGCAGTTTCAAAGTTCTTTCCTTGCCTGTTGATTTTCTAGTGTTCCATAAATGATCTAAGAAAATAATGCTGCATAGTTATTGGCAGGTGGGTGAGTTACACTTACAGTTCTTCCTGCTACCACTGTAGAAGTAGGACATTTCTTCTGCTTTATCCAACACATTCCCAAACTTAGCAAAAAGGAAAAAAATTCAGAAAAATATTTTCAGAAGCCCAGAATGATAACATCACCACTAATGATATTAAAATGAAACCATATTCTGCAAAGCAAGGTACTTAAAGAATGTAAGTTCTTGTGAACAATGGAAGATGTGACTAATATTTGTCAGGTCAAACCCTGACAACTATTTTCAATTTGACAAATTTAAGAAAGTGTCTTGAGTTTGCATTCTGTTCTTGTCAACTCTTTAAATAGTCTGAGAATCAACACAAAAATACTATGAGTCATTCACCTCCCAGCCCCATTTCACACTCAACCACACTCAACCAACTTCTTCTTTATGCAAAGGAAGAAGAACAGAGTTTTTAAAAATGAAGTCACAGATTCTTGTAGGTCATGAGATACTGGCAGTATTTCCTGTAAACTACACATGTGGTAACCAGGCAAATATAGTGAACATCAGTCTTGTCTTTCCAGAGAACTTCTACATCCAGTGTGATGGAATGAAACAGTACTTCAGGAATAGCAACCTACGGCCACTTAAGGGAGTCCGTGGTTGTACAATCATGTTGACATAAACTTCCTGAAGAACAGATTTCTTACTGGTACACAAAACAGAGATATTCTGGAGCAAAAACATCCTCAGATGACCAGACAAACTCATGAACTAGTCAAATAAAAATAATTGAAGGTTAACTTCAGCAGCTTTTGCAAGGCCATGTAGTTGATGCCTTTGCTGAGACTATGGAATTTTACAAAACAAGTAACACTTTATATACCTACCATTTTGTATTATTGCATCCTTCCAGGACAGTTCTTAAAGCCATCAATGGCTTGTCTAAGACATGTCTAAGTTCTGCTATCAGGGTAAAAAAAAATTTAAAAAATCCATATCCAAAAAAACCCACCAAAAAACCCCCCAAACCTTTACAGAGGGGAAAAAAAAAAAAAAAAAAAAAGACACACAGTTTCCTAAGCAATTGTACTACAGTGCAAGCTACTCAGTTCCTACCTGGAGTGTGCCCTGCTCTCTCCCAGGTCCTGTACTACCAGTGACTGTCAGCTTCTTCCCATCTCACTTGTACCAACCACTACAGTGAATTCAATTCTCCCATCTTTTCAGGGCCTTCAGCAAAAGGCAGCTCATTTGATAGATATTTTACTAGCTCTAACCTGTACCTAATCTGCATGTGTGCACAACATATTAAATGCAGTTTCCTCAAAGCAAACTAACCAGAAAGGATAAACACTCATTGTCCTTGCCTTTCCTTGTCCCATCTGGGGCACAGAAAATTTCTTCACTGGATGATGCATTACCATAATCTTGTCTCCTAATTTGACCACTTAGCTTCATGATTTATGGGAAGTTACTATGTTTGGGCCCTCTACTCTTTTTATCATGTCAACCAAATGAATCAACAGGCTCAAAAGTTACAAAGCAATGGATGAAAAGAGATTTGGGGGGCGTGTGTGTTGGGGGTTTTTTTGTTGTTTGGGGTTTTCTTTTCTTTAGAGGAAAACAATCTCTTTGAAAAGCAAGGTTATTTTATCCTAAGAGTTAAAATAACCCCATAAAGGACAGTCTGTAACAGGGAGAAACTAAATAACTAGTATCCAGTCACAGGATGTGTGGGAGTGGTTGAAAGCTTCCAGCCGCAGGACGTGTGGGAGTGGTTCAAAGCTTCTCCAGGGGCAGTTTAGATGATACATTAGAAAGCATTTATTTACCAAGAGTGTGGTCAAACACTGGAACAGGCTTCCTAGAGAGGTGGTTGATGCCCCACGCCTATTGGTGTTTCAGAGGCATTTGGGCAATGCCCTTAAGAACAGGCTTTAATGTTTGGTCAGCCCTGGAGTGGCCAGGCAGTTGGACCAGATGATTGTTGTACATCCTTTCCAACCAAACTATTCTATTCTATTCTAAATCTGTGTTTGTGAAAGCTACTGAGCCGAAGGAAACCTGACAGTGGTCTTCTGATGTTGCAGGTTCTAGAAGCTGTTGTGCCTTTGGAAACCTTTGCTACGTTTCCCACTGTCAATGATGTCTCTTCCAGGACTTCAGCAAGCACCCCTTCATGGGCTTGTGACAGTTGTGCTCTGGGTTGTGGCCACTCAGGTCTTGCAGAGTGACCACCAGGCTCAGGGATCCCACCTCCACTCTGGGAGACCCACTGCAGTGCTTCATGACCCTCACAAGGATTTTGCTTTTGATGCCTTATCTCCAGCCTGCACCTCTCTAGTTTCGGGACATGCCACTGTCTCATACCCTCCCAGCAGGCTGTGCTGGGAAGAGCCTGTCCCCATCGCCTTGATGACTTTCCCATAGGCACCGGGGTGTGCTGTGAGGTGCCCGACACCTTCTCTGCCCCATGCTGAACCAGCCCCAGCCCCACAGACCCTCCTTGCCTCCCCTGAGCCCCTCGGGTTTGTCAGCCTCTCTCCTGCCCAGGACCTCAAATGAGGTGTAGTGTCCACATGAGGCCTGATGGGTGCTGAGCAGAGGGGATCATCCTTGTGCCTTTTGGCTGGGGGAGAAAGAGAGGAGAAAACCCGCCAGAGTGAGCCGAATGCTGCCTGTGACCCCCCGTGGGAGGAAGCAGGGGAGCCCAGAG